GATCTTCAAAAAAGACTAGGTGATGGATGTGCTAGTCCTGATCAGTGTTGTCAACATTCAATATATCCAGGGCATTGATTGCATGTAACATGAAACCATGAGATTAATAAGCTCAGGTGTATAAGAGCTAAATTTAGTTACCATCTGGTTTGCTTAACAGTTTAGGTTTTAGGTAGTAGAAGGAAAACTGTCTTTACAAGCTTAACAAGTATATGAGTTGGCTTTGCAAACTGGGCTGCAGCTGTTTTAGAGAGTTGAACTGCAGAAGGGCTACATGGGCTTTTGAGGAAGTGGAGCTCCAGAAAAAGAACCAGGGAGGAGATGTGAAGGGTAAGCCTGGAGCTGCTCTGTCTGAAGGCTGCAGTCACATTTCTCTGTGCTCTTCTGACACTCGTTTGTCCTCACGTCAGTCCAACCAGTCATTTAAAGGTTACAAATGACAGGACAGACAAGGGCTCATGGAGTCTGCAGCTCTGCTGGGCTCAGTCTGGTGACATCACTAGTGAGGGGTTTGAGAGAAGTTGGAAATAGGACTATTCATGGCTTTCTCTTGCTGGCTGTTGGTTGTACAGTATCTGCTTCTGTAGACTTCTGAAGAAATTATTTTGGTGACTTCCCTTCCTGAGAATGAGTCTGAGACTTGTTTCCTGCCTTTGCAGGTAATGGGAGTGCCTTGGTGAGGCTCCTTCAGGAAGAAATCTTCCGGCTTGAGCTGATAAGCTCTTACAGTGAGGAAGAGCTGCAGAGCTTTCTGACACAGTGTGGCATCCCCTGGGAGGCTTCAGATACAAAGGTAATGGCTTGTTTGCCCACATACAAGCTTGAAGGAGTGGAGCTGTTCTTCACTGTCTTTCCCTCACTCACACTTGCCATCCTAGATAATTAACTTCTCATCCGACTGCACTAGGGCAGGGGTGGGATAGAAGTGAGTGCCAGCAGATTATAGGATAACTTACACGTGGTGAAATAAATTGAACCTTTGTGGGTTAGAAGAAAGGAACCCTGTAATTACCTTGTCACAGGCTCAGCATCTTGTAATTGCTTGTCATCCTCACAGTGCTGTGTAGGATTAGGAAGTTATTGGATGAAGTGCAAATTAGGATTTGGGAGACTTTACCTGCAGCCTTCTCCCTCTCTGGAGGAGTCCATTGATTTTAGCCACACACAGACTTTCTCTGGGGCCTGTCTTTTTCTAGGACCAGCTCTGCTACTCCCTCCTGGCTCTCTATGAGTTTGTACAGAATGGGACAAGCATCACACAAGCCTCTGCTCATCACACAGGAGGGAAAGTCTATAAAGTGTGTCCACATCAGGTAAGGAAGGCTGGAGTCAGCAATGTTTTTTTTTACCTTGCTCTTCACTATTATCTGACTTACCAGTGTGGAACTGCCTCATTAAGTAGAAGTGATGGAGTTGAGCCTCTCTGAGCCTTGGGAATGAAACACACTGCCTCGGGGGTTTGGAATGTAAGCAGTCCTGCAGGAGATTTCAAGATCAACTAGTGATCTTGGTTTTGATGTTCCTGTTGAGGTGGAGTTGAAAATCGCCTCTTCCTGAACAAGATAAAGTGAACATGTTATGAGGAGGAAAGAAAATATCTTTAGAAAAAGTAACTGCCTGGTTACTGTATTGTCTAGAATACCTGAAAAGAAGCTTAATTTTTTTTAATACTGTATTTTTTTTCCATAAGCTTTCAGTTTTATTGTGGTGTTTGGTGTTAATCCTTTTCTTTCCAGGTTGTGTGTGGCTCAAAGTACATAGTCAGAGGAGAAAATGCCCGGGATCATGTGGACCTGTTGGTTTCCTCACGTCACTGGCCTCCAGTGTATGTTGTTGATACAGCTTCTTCAGTGGCACTGTGTGCAGATGTCTGCTGTCCTGGCCTGACTTCCCAGATGTGGGGGAAAAACCAAGGCTGCTTCTCTGACCCCATGGATCCTCCAGCGGTTAGTTGTGTCCGCCTTTTCACTCAGCTATGCCAGTCCAATACAGAAAAGTTTCAAGTGAGATTTAAAATATAGAAAAATAAAATATGTAACCTGCATTGTGCATCAAGATAATTTGACCTGCTAAGTGCCGCCTGACTCACAGATTTGCCAGTGCAGAGCTTCTGAGCATAATGGAAAGCGTTATGTATTGCTTGGGGCGTTGTACTAGATTCCTGCTCCTTAATAGGAAGAGCTGTGCTGGAAGCACATTGTAACAGTTCAAACCATGACCTTTGGAGAATGTTGCTTATTTTGACACAGCAACTAATTTCTCTCAAACTACTGCTATTACTGGAGAAATGGGAGAGGAAGAGGGTTGATAGTGCCTTGAGATTATATCTGAGGGCATACGAGCGAGGAGGAAGCGTACAGAACCACCTTTGTGGCATTTAGGGGAGGCCTGAATAAGTGAGCCCTCCTGTCCTGGGTCATAGCGCTGGCTGGAGTTCAGCCAAATGGGAGCTTTGTCTTACTCTTTTTGGCTGCGGGGAAGTTGCTTTTTGTTCTACCTGCTGCGTGTTTCTCTCTCCCAGTACGTGTCCTGCCCTGAACTGCTAGACCAGCACTACAGCGTAGACATGACTGTGGCTGAGCACTCCGTCCAGCACCCAGTCACCAAGTCGTCGGCACGCCGAATTGTTCACACGGGTTCAGAGCAGAACAGCCACCGAGATCCAACGGCTCGGCATCACTGCATCTCCCTGTGCCGAGAGCTGGAGCCTTACAGCGCCATCATCGCTGCTATCAACGACAGCAAAACGAGCAACATCCGCCAAAAGCCCATCACCTTTGAGAACGCCACGCACTATTACCTCTACAACCGCCTCATGGACTTCCTCACCAGCAGGGAAATTGTGAATCGGCAGATCCAGGAGATCGTACAGAGCTGCCAGCCTGGGGAGGTGGTAATTCGAGATGCTCTCTACCGGCTCGGAGTGGCCCAGATTAAAACAGAAACAGAAGAGGATGAAGAGGGGAAGCAGGAGGACGATAGAAGTTGCTGAGTAACAAACCAGCTTGTTGGTTTTTCTCTGTGGTTGTGTGGATGGGTGGGCTGGGCCAGCTTCTGCAAGGTTTGGGCAGCTGTCTGGCCTGAGAGTTTATTTTTACAGGTTGGAGAGGTGATGCCGGTGGCTTTGACTGCTGTTAATGACCAAAGAGCTGTGTGCTTCCATAGTGTCATGATAGCTGCTGCAAGCGTGGGTCTGTCACCCCCTTGCTGAAGGCTTCAACTGCTTCCTGAGGTGTGCAAGGGACCCGCTGTTCAGTGGTGTGAAATGTTGCCTTCCCTGCAGCTGGCGAGTGGAGAAGGGAGAGGTGTTTCTGGTAGCAGCGGGAGAGTGTGCATGGTCAAGCACGCAGGCTTTTTAATTCTGAGTCTTGCTTGCTGACTTCTTTGTGCATATTGGTGGCAGGGCTGGGGGTGTGGGAGCAGACATGAAAGGCAGACAGATAAGATCGTTTCCCCCCAAATGTTCTGAATAAATTAGTTTAGGGCACTGATTTCTGCTTGGAAATCCTGCAGAGCTCTCCTGTGCATTGGCTGCAGGGAGTGTTTAGTTGAGGAGGAGCTATGCAGCTTTAACTCACCGTATCTGGGGAGCTTCCCTGGAGGCTGCACTCCTGAGTCCAGGATTGTGGGTGCTTTGGCTACAGAAAGTTTCTAGAATTATTTGTCCCTTCACGTGAACACTAATAATTTAGGAGCTGAAACAGGCAGTGAGTGAAGAGTGTTCTGAATGTTAGGGTAAGAATTGACTGGGTGAGCCCCAGGAGAACCAAGCTCGTTGGAGAGCTGTATGAGCGCTGTGTAAGGTGGTGGCTGTGGAAAGGGGAGGGACACTCAAAATTTCTCTGCAGTCCCTCTGGATGTTTTTGGTTTTTTTTTTTTTAGCAGCAGTTTAATTCTATTCAAGGACTTGGATTTCTGTTGTCCTGCCCTTGGAACAGAATCACAAAGACTGTCTGTGGGATTGAGGAGAAATGATGAATGCAACATCACCAGAGCAAGCAGGGTTCGGTGTTCCTCCTGCAGAGGTGGTGCTGGGATTGTTGCATTTATGTGTGCAATCTCTGTGCTCTGTCAGGTGTCATATTTACCCTGCCCTTGTCCTCAAAGCGCTCTGTGGGTTAGAGAAGTCTCAGCTGCCCAGGTTGCTCTATCAGCTCCTTGAGACCTCTGCCCATACAGCCTGTCTGAAGAACACCTTGGGCTGCGGTTGCAAAGCTCCATGTGTTGTCTGCTGCCAGCTCGCTCTTGCTGGTGATGAAGATGAGGGTGGATGAATGCTTGCTGTGACCTGCAGAGGAGAGAAGGGGGATGCTAGATGGCCAAGTTGTCTGAGTGAGCAGTGGGGAAGATTTAGGCTTGCAGCGTGGTTGAAAACTCCCTTCTGTGAAGGGGAACCTATTGAGTACCGTACTGTTAAAGTAAATGTATTAAGTCTGAGCAAATGCAGTAATTATGGCTTGGGGTTTTTCTGTTAAGAATATTAACTTATTATAAGAGACATTAGTGACTTTTTTCAGTCAGTGATAAAGTTTAATAAATTATCTCCAGTTTTGGGGGTGAAACTGTGCTTAGCTGACTTGTTTTTTGTATACAAGACCTGGAGGACTGCAGTGGGAAAGGGCACAAACACTGTGTGCATTGCCGTGGTGGTGGGGAGAAGCCTGGTATTCTCAGAGGAACAGCTCAGCTTCTGCATGTGGTTGACCCTTCTGGTCTACCCCCTCTCATTCTGCATTGCCTGGGGCAGGGCACTTCCTGAGGCAGCTTTCAGAGAGAAGCTGCCACAGGTGACAGTAACATCTCTGGGCTGGAGCTCCTGCTGCACCAGGCCCTTCTGCCCCTACCCTGCCCTTTCCCACACTGATTGCTGCCAATGCCAGTCACGAACAGTGACCCTTGTCAGCTCTCCTTGCAGCACAGTTGGAATAACTCCCCCATTATACCCCTGCATGGGGACTACTTCATTTTTCCCAATTACAGACAGGCCAGTCAGAGCAAAATGCTTTACAACCTTACTTTTAATAAATTTTTATATTACACAAGATTGAATGGTTTTGAGAACTGATACCAAGGAATTGGAACAGAGGTGGAAGGTGTGAGAAGATGGGCCAGAGCATCACCCAGGCTCTGATCCATTCCCCTTAAAAGTCCTTGGAGTCCTGGAAGAGACTCATTGTGTTAAACATTTTATTCTTTATAATGCTGACAGACAGAAATACATTGGCTTCTTATTTAGTAAAGAATGAATCACTTGGTGTTAGCGTAAAACCAGGTTTAATAAGGCAGAAGTGGCCCACAAGGTAGTTGCTCACAGTATGACAAAGGCCACTTGTGATACTGTAGTTTGCCTGAGCCCTGTCAGTGCTTGTACCTGGAATACTGATCCTTTACCCACCAAGTCAGGTGAAGCTAAGAAGGTTCTTTAGCTACTTCTGATAGCTACACTAGACTGGGTGGCTGGGGCATTGGTAACCTTGAACAAGAGCTAGGTGAGAAATAGGTTTAAGGGCATTAGGCCCTAGCTTATGAAAATAATTGCCTCAGCTGAACTACTAAAACTACACTCATTAAAATACATACAAGAGCATATCTGTAACCATGATAAAGGCAGTGATTGCTACATGTTTAATAAGTCAGAAGTTTTGTAGGATATGTGTTATGTTGATCATTTCCAGACCTCTTTAAGCTGCCATTCTTTCCTGGGTTGGGGTTGTGTAAGTGCTCCTGTGGCAGAACACTGGTTAACTTCTGTATTTTACCTGAGAAATAACTGCCCCTTGGTCCTGGGGCACAAGTTCACATAACCCTGGGGTTGGCTCCTTGGCTTACTTCACCCAGAACACTCCCTGCAGAAGCATGAGCTGCAGAGGGATAGATTGCATGAAGAAATGTAGAGGTTAATGCATATTTAATGCTAAGTAGAGGCTTTACTTATATCTAAACAACTCTCTATGCAACATGGAGGGTCTGACTAAGGGAAGAGAGCAGGACCACCAAGAAAGAGGGCTGCTTCTGGTGCATGGAATAGTTCCAGCTTCAGGACCTAGTTCAAGATGTACTCATAAAACATAAGGCTTCAGTCATGTGGGTGACTTGGCTACAACTACTGTTTTTAAAAAAAACTACAAATAACAAACACCCCACAGCTTCCTCCAGGGGGTGGGGAGGCAGGTGACAGGGACCTCTCTGTACCATGTAGAGATGGAACGTGTTACCATCCTAACAAGTCTGTGCTACGCTTGAGATAAGACCTTGGTTAACCCGGGGCAAGGCTTGATTTTGAGTTGCTCCAGCGTTATCCTTTCAGTGAGGGAGTTGGTAACACTTGGACTTCAGAAAGCAGAGAGGAGAGCCAAAGCAGAAGGCATCTGGGTCCTAGGGCAGAGCAGAACCATGTGCTCTGTGGAGCTGGGAGGACAGGGATCTGCCCCAGGCGATGGTGCCAGCTAACAGAACTGATAGTTGTTGCTCTTGAGAAGGGGCTGGCCACTCTCCTCTTGCTCACAGGACTCCTCGCAGCAGCCGGAGGTATCGCAGCCACTGTCTTCCTCAGTAGTGGAGGGGAGATTGGTGTAGTCCTTGAAAGCAAAAACAAAAAAACACCCCACCCCAAGTGTGTTTCAGTCCCATCAATGGTTTACAACCTGTTTCTGCACAGTGAGGAGCCAGGGGTGCTGACTCAACACATCCCTGCTGCTGTGGAGCTGCAGCACAGCTGGTCAGGAGGCAGCGCAGCTTCTGTCCAGCTGCACCACAGGCAGGGGTAGTGCTGCCCACAGGGCTTGCTGCAAAGCAGCTGTTATTTCTTTGTCCAGCCTCCTTTGGTCATGGTGAGGAGTGGCTTAACCATTCTGCATGGGGAAATCTGAGTGTACCTCTGCACTTCACCAACACTAAACTCCAGTCAGTTCAAGGTAAGGGACAGCACCAGGAAAGTTGTCCAGGAGCTATGTTTGTGTAGGGGGAAAGCATGTCTCCCCGCTTCTCTCCAAAGGTCCTCACCTGCTCCTTATGCACCTCCAGTTCTTTCTGAATGAAGCAGCCGATCTGGTCGAAGGTCGGTCTCTGGGTGGGCTCCAGGCTCCAGCATGCCTGCATGATGCTGTACCTGTGGAGCCAAACAGGGACAGGGCAGTTGCACGGTGCTGCTGGAGAGTTTTGCAGCCCCAGGCTCTTCTCTGCAGCACTTTGTGTTTCAGGCACACAGTACTGAGCAGCCCCTTGTCTTCCTGTCTATAAAACCTGTGCTCAGTGCATGTGCAGTGCTCCAGGCAAAGGTAAGCACAGAAGTGAAGCAGAGTAATCTATCAAAGGGCTTTATGCCTCCAGTATTTTAAGCTTAAACTCATTCCCCTCCTGTAACCTACTCAGGCTTCTCTTCTCTTAGTCCTAGAGTCAAAAGTAGCTAACAAAGAAATAAAAAAAAAAAAAAAAAAAAGAAAAATCCACCAAGTTCAGGAATGTAGACATACAACATGAGCCCTCCCATCTTTCTCTCCATAAACAGGGGAAATACTGGATGGAGCGTCATAACTGCCTGCCTCAGGTCTTGCTGTCCTGCAGGATCAAGGAGCAGCCTGGTAGGATCCAACCTGAACCTCAAGGACAGACACACCTGGGAGCTGCAGGCAGACCTGACCAAGGTCCCTGTGCCATCTCCCTGCCCACCCCGCCGTGAAGTGGCCCCAGCCACCCTGTCACCCGCTGTGTGCATCTCGAGCCATCCACTCACATTTCCAAGGGGGCGAAGTCAGGCCTGGCCATCTGGTATCCCTGCTTCACCATGCTGTAGAACTTGCTGTTCACCACCATGCCGGGATAGGGACTTTTACCTGTGACAGTAAAAGCAGCAGAGGTGGCGCTCAGATCCGAGGCTTTGACACTCCAACCTGGAGCATCACCACACCAGTGCTGCTTATTCTCAGTGAGTTCTGTGTTAGAGCAAATCATGCAGGGTCCACTGTTTTTAATGGTCCCTCTGGAAGCATAACACAGTGTTTTACAGCCCTGATAAAATGTAGATTTTTGTCAACTGTAATTTCTTGGAAACTTTTCTGCAGAGACATTAGGGTAGCGGTAAGCCATGGAAAACAAAAGAGATTTCAAAGCTTGCTTCTTTCTTACCGAGGGAGAAGATCTCCCAGAGGAGGATGCCGTAAGACCACACATCACTCTGCACTGTGTAAATGCAGTCAAAGATGCTCTCTGGCGCCATCCATTTCACAGGCAGGCGGGCCTGGAAAAGCAGAGTCCTTCAGACTGGGACAGGCTGGCAGCTTATGCTCCACTCTGTCCTTCACGCTCCGGCCACACCCTACCCTTATACCTTCTCTTGTCCCTGTTTTAATTACTTACATTGCCTTTTACAACATAGTTCGAGTCATTCATGATATCACGGGCCAGGCCGAAGTCACAGATCTTGGCTACCCGTCCATCTGATATGAGCACATTCCTTGCTGCTAAGTCACGATGGATGCACTGGGGAGAGGAGAGCGCAACTGAGACCCAGCCAACATCTCCCAGCAGTCCCAACTAATTCCCTACAGCCCAGACCTGTCATGGAAACAGCACTTATAGGAGCAAGGGGATACATGTAATGCTTGAAAAGGCCATGTAAGAGGCACTGTGTCACGTACGAGGCGTACGGGCTCTCTTTCAATTGCTTCATTCGCAGTGGTAAGGCAGTGTGACATTTCATGCCATGTCCTTTAGTCACTCATGAGGCCATCATCTTCCCCATGAGAGCAGGCTCAGAACCAGGGGCTGTTGACACTCTGTCCTCATCTCTGAAACGGTCATACGGTTACTCTGATACTCTAAATGAGCCAGCTCTGGCAGACAGCTCAACGGCCACTTTCAGTTCCTTGTCCCTGGGGCAGCAGGGAAGCTGCCAATGCAAGAAAGCTTCACATCAAAGTTCCTGACCTCATGTAAAAGCTGGGGAGAAAATGTTGACACTAGCACGATTCACAGTCCTGGGTTCCCCCCCTTGTAACACTGTCCTGCTGTGATGGCTCTCCTGGAGCCCGTGGGAGACAAACGCTCTGAAGGGAACACCAGTCACCATGGCCCAGCATGTCTGAACCCAATCAGTGGAGCAGAGAGCCCCTTTTCCATCAGCAGCTTGCTTGAGCTTGGCCATCCCAGCCAAAAACATCCCAAGCCTTATATAGACAGGTTGGCTGGTGTCTGCTAGCTAGATTGTCCGTTCCCAGTTGGGGTGCTGGGGGCAGTTGTCCTCTTGACACTCACGTTCTTTGATGCGAGGAACGCCATGCCCTGGGCCACCTGGCTGGAGAACTGTAGCAGGTCAGAGAGATTGAGGGGACGGAGGTCCTCCCTGGTTTCTTCTTCCTCTGAGCTTTTCCCTGAAATTCAAAGCAAAGTTTTAGAGTTGCTGCAAACCTGGTGAGTAATACAAGCTATGCTGTATCATGGTTCTCCAGAGCTAAACCAGACAGGATAGCCAGCGTAAAGAAATCGTGAAAACACAGAAATGAGCCTTTAACTCACCCTTGGCTTGTGCAGAATCTGATGACGCTGAAGATGATGACGACGACACAGGCCTCATTTCAACATATGTTTCTAAACCCTGGCTCGAAAAGCCACTGTCACTGAGTCAGAAGCAACAAAGATGGACACAGGCTGTTAGCAACCCTCCAGCAGTACCTTCTCCCCATCCACTGCGAAGAAACCACATCCCTGCCTGCAGGAAGTATCTTAGCTAGAGGCTTAAGGGCAAAGGGAAAGTCAACGTTGAGGCTGATTCAGGAAGGGGACCTAGGTGCCCTGTGGTATGGGGCTCCAAGCACTGCTCCCCTTTTGTCAAGGGACTGCCCTTGGCTGATGGGGAGTGCTCAGCCTCTTTTCCTACAAAACCCACATGCCCAACAGTGTGGGAAGTCAAAAAGGTCTGATTCCAGGTAGTGGGAGGGTAGACTGGATTGAAACCTGGATTTATTGTGGGATATCTGTCAAAGACTGAAAAATTTGGAACTGTAACCAAGTCTAAACACACACATACCCAGTGGCTTTTACATCCTGGTATTCTGCAGGTCCCCAGACCTTTGGCCTTCATCTCTCCCCAGCACAGCTCTCTGGACACTTCTCCCAGCAAGTACCCAGGCCCTGCATTGCTCAGCACCTGAGCTCTGCTTTTACCTGCGGATGTATTTCTTCTCTAGGTCAATGTTTTTGTAATCAGCAGTGCTGTCTAAAGAAGTGTCCAGGGCAGAATCTTGGATAATTATGGATTCAGCCTTCTTCCGCAGGAAATTCAGCAGATCTCCGTAGCGACAGTACTCAGTGATAACAAGAATTGGGCCTAGGAGAGAGGCAGAAAGGGTTCATTAAGAAGTGATGTTACTGTGACCTGTCACGAGGAATGCTTTCCCCAGGAGGGGAATCAGAACCCATATTGCACATAAGCATGTCTGGAAACAGCCAGCCCACAGGCCCTTGCAAAGTTATAGGCTCAAAAAAGACTTCCCAGCTCATCAGCTATCTCTATTGCGAGACTGAGGAGAGATAAGAGCCTCAGAGGAGCAGGCCATGGGAGGGGTCCTAGGGGGAAGCAGGGCTGCGGGATCCCACCTCCATAGGTACATGCTCCCAGAAGGTTAACAATGTTCTCATGGTGTCCCAAGTGACTCATGATCTTCAGCTCAGACATGAGAGCCTCCTGCTCATCCGTGTCTGCTGATGCTGCAAGACAAGAGAAGGGCTGTGTGAAGGAGTGAAGGGGGGACAAGGAAGAGATGATGGAAGACAGAAAAAGGTGTAGACAGAGATATGGAAGAAGAGGAGGAGGCACACTCAGGGAGGAAATTGTGTCCTCTGTCAGTGTCTCTGGCCACGTGTGTCCACAAAAATGACAGCAGCATGATTCCAACATGCAGTACTTATCACAGAAACAGCTAAAATAGTAGATGTTGCAGCCTGGGAGCACCAACACATGGTGAACACACACTACATCCTGTCCAAAGGAGCTTGGGGGATTTCAGCCTTTGCAAGTTGCTCTGGGCTTACACTTTAGCATCTTCACAGCCACTTTGAGGACTGAATCTTCTTTGCCCAGGCCAAAAGCAGTGGCTTCTACCACTTTTCCAAAGGCACCTGCTCCAAGAGTTTTTCCTGCAGAGGGGAGAAAGAAAAAAAAAAAGGATTTATAAAATGCTTTATAGGAAGATATTGAGCAGTTGTCCTGCAGAGAGCATCATTAAGGAAGATGTCTGGTGGGTGGGAATTCCTGCTGAGCCCAGACAAGATGATACATCCCTTAGGAGCTGGTTAACATCTGAGGAGAACTCTTCTGTGAGCAAAGATGGTATGAAAGAGGTCATGACCAAACATGGGCTCACCAGCTCCATGCATTAAGAATGACCCCAGATGCAAGAGGAGGGACATGATCCTCTCAACCTTCCTCAGAGCAGTGGAGGGCTGGAGGGAGGTTGTACCCTAACATTTGCCACCCTCTGTGGAAGAGGACAGCAAGACCTGGTTAGGAAGTTGCTGTAACGTCTGGATGCAGCTATGGATATTGCCCAGTTGCTTTGGTTCTGTCCCTTGAAACATTTCAGCTCTGTGGTGAGCTGCATGCCACCAGGCAAGCAACAAGGAAGGGGTCTTACCAAACTGGAGGTTATTCCTGGGAAACTCCCATTTTTCATTGTATGGCAGCTGAGTGGGATCAATAAAGATGTAGTTATTTCCTTCACAGGCCTCAATGATCTTCCACCGCACCTGGTACTTGGGTTTCTGTAAGGAAGAGACTCCAGTTATTCACTATTTCTCAGGTGCTGAGGGTTCCCAGTCCCAGCACGCACTCTAACTCTCACCCTGCAGGCATAGAGGGAAAACTAATACTTCAGCCCATCAAATATTTCTTGCTCTGAACCTGGACTGAGAGGCTTTGTCTGGACAGACTGGTCCCTTTGCTGTTAAAGTCCTTCCAAGCTGTCACCCATGACTGAGGGAGTCTCTCTTGCCTCTTTCACTTAAAGTAGCCCGTTGCCCTCACTTGGGATGGCAGAGCAGGGAGAGCCAGCATGTCCCACCAGACCAGTGGCTGTCAGCTGGTGCTAGAGGGAGATGTCTCCACTGTGTCTCCTTCCTTGGTACCCTGGGTTGCTGAGCACAGCAGAATAGCAGAGCTGGCCCAGCTCTGCTTCCCTTACAGGGGAAAAAAAAAAAAGAAATGGAGAAAGAGAAGTAAGAATTTCTTCTCTTTTCTGTGAATCTCATGGCAGACGTAACCAGGCAAGGCAGAGAGAAGCAGTGCTGGAGCCTGTGGGCAGAGGCAGTTGGCAGCTTGTGCTGGGTGTTGTCATTCATGTTGAGAGTGCTAGGGAGCCAAGCTGGAGGCACAAATACAGAGAAAGGCGGTGAAATAGCTTGACATGAGAATACTGTTCATGGCCTTTGCTCCTGTACAGTGAGACAGGTGAGGACCTGCACCCCAGTGTGGCAAAAGTGATCTCAGGTCCATCAAGGAGGGCACAGGGAAGCATGGATGGAGTGGACATGGCTGTGATGAATCACCTCATGTCCCAGCTACTGGGATGTGTGCGCTGAAATGATTGTCCTCACCACTTCCCCTGGGTAGTTGCAGAGAAAAACACAGTGTTTAAGTAGATGCTCAAACCTGGGTTAGCACAGGCGTGAGGGACCATAACTGAGGCAAACAGATCTGCAGTTTTGATGCAAAGTGTCTGTTTGTTTTCTCCCCCACACTGCTGTGCTTTCCTTTGCCTGAGAGTTGAACATCCATGCCCATGCACGTTGTCGAAAAAGCCCCAGACAGGATACTCTGAGGAGCACAGGTCTAGTGAAGGTCCATCATAAAGAATGCCACATGCACTCAGTTTATTTGTTGTTGCCTGCTCCCAGAGGGTGAGCAGTGCTGCTTTCTGCTCTATGATTCACCTAGCACAGCAGCAATCAGCCATGGCTCAAGCAGCCAATGGCTGAGATAGATAAAATTATTTATAAACATGTCTTGTTTCTCTTGGGCTTGCAAGGCCTTCCTAAAAGCTATTTCTTCAGAGCTGTGATTACACACCAATCCACCCTTCTCTCTCTCTTTGGATTACTGGCCAAAGACATCTCTGCCTGCAAAACTGTAGGTGCTTGTCTGGAAGAGGGGTCTGCTGGATCTTCTGACAACCAGCACCAGAACTTTTCTGCAAAATTTGCAGCCTTGATGGGCTGTCAAAAGGAGAGTGCCAAAAGGGAGAGTTGAAAACCAGGAGATTTTCTCCCACTGATGAAGCAGAGGTGGCTATTGATTGGTGCAGTTTATGGAAACAACTGAGAAAGAATCCAAATGCTGAAAATGAGTTTTGCAGAGAAAGTGGGGTAAGTTCTTGTATAAAAATAGTGACCAAGTCTTCCTGGAGGCAAACGCCTTCTATCATCATCCTGTTTCCCCATAAAGATAGCTTTTTATAAAGCAAGGAGGAGAATAAGTAGATGCAAGCTGCAAACCATGTTTTTTTTTCCTCCTTAATTCAGGCTGTGGATTCATGGTGACCAGAGCAAAACCAGCTGCAAATGACAGCACAGAGTGAGCACCTTTGACACCAAGGAACATCCACATTGACCTCTGGGCCACAAAACTGAGGGACCGGGGTGGGAGAAATTTTAACACACTGGGTTTGGTGCATGAGCCTTGCCCTGCAGCAGGAAACTCCTGGGGGAAGTTGGGGGGCATTGGAGGTGAGGGAGGCAGCTTGCCTGGTACCTCCAGTCTGAATGCTCCCTGCCTGTAGCTGTCAGCAGAGGCAGTGTGGTCTCTGCAGCTAGGCAGGCCTTGCAGCCCTTGCTAACAACAGGGAATCTGACCTGGTTGTACTTGTAGAGGAGGAAGAGGAGTAGGAGCAGCAGCAGGACTGATGTGCCTATGCAGATGGAGAGAATGGGGCTGAAGAGCTTGTTTGGGGGAGCCATGACATTTCCTGGAAGAGCAAGAAAACAAGGATGAGTAAAACACTCCTTTTTCAATCCCATCTCTGGGAGCATTTTGCTCAGCTGTTCACTTAGGTTTCTCCTATATGCAACACAACCCAGCACTGGCCTCAGAGACAACCAAATGAGCTTCTGGGAACTGAGGGAAGTCTTGATGACAAACTTAAGGCTGCAATGGTTCCCCCTGTGCGCCCCAATTTTCACACAAACAGCACCAGGTGCAGGTCAGACTGACTGGGGACCAAGATCTGTGTGGCAAGAACAGTTCCACAAAAAGATGCAACCCCTAGAATCCAGTGGGCTGATCAGTGCCCCGGAGCCAAGTCTTGCAGTTATGAGGTGTTCATGGTGTGGCTCGGCCTTTGGCACCAGGCTATGCCCAGCCAGCAATTCCTATGTGGCTCATAGGACTGCCAAATGCCAAAGCCTCACACCTCCTGTGAAGACAGAGGGCTTGTGGAATCTATTCTACCTTTCTTGCAAGACAATATAGATATACATCTAGGAAGATGGGTCCCCCAAAGCCCCCAAATTCTCCCCCACTCTGCTAAGATACCAGTTTGTATCTTACTAGTGATGGTGAGTGAGTGAAACATGTCAGAAGCATTCCCCCCTCCGTTAATGGCTACACAGCAGAAGGTGAAATTGGCACCCAGCTCCTGGAATGGGACAACACTCTCCACCTCCACCTCTTGGAAGGGCAACATGTTCACCACCTGGGGACTGGAATCGTTCAGTAGCAACCTATAGTCCTCATTGTATCTGCAGAGACATCAAGCAGGAGAGAATGAGTGCTCCTCTGCAGCACAGTTGCTCATAAGTGAATTGGTGCCTGTATCAGACTAAAGAGGAGAGGCTGGGAATTAGGATTGAAGCTCTGTGAGACATGCTACTCACTGCCCAATTAAAAGATCTGTCCCTGAACATCAAAGTCTTGTACAGACAGAGCTTTAACTGCCTCTATATGTGGCTACAGCTGTGGCAGCAGTTCCCTCCTTGAATGAGGCTGGTACTGAGACACAACAGCCCCTGTCCAGGCAGTTGCAGTTGCCTCCCATCACACTGTGGCTCAGTAAGCCTGTGCTCTGCAGAGCCTCAGGCCTGTGAAGGTCCCACAAAGATGACTAGGACCAGCCAGGATGTAGCTCTACAGCAACATATATCGAGGCACTTCTCCAAAGGACGGACCCACATGTTCCTCAGACAAGCATTAGGAGAATATGAATCACAGGTAGCTGAACACTTCAAGCTCAGGACTTTAGGAATAGTACGTGTCCCCTCTCCTCAGACAGTCCCCAAGATCCTCTTTTTTTAGCTGGGCAACATCCCCGTTGCTGTTACTGAACAGGCTTTGCTAGATTGCCTGTGAGCAAACCCATGTGGTGCTGCTCAGCAAACACTAGCATAGCAAGGGCAAATGCACACCTTGGAGGTGCTCAGTCTCCTGGGCATTTACCTGTCAGAGTGAATGGGGCAGTGGTACCACTCAATGCGTGGGGCAGGGTAGCCGATGGCCATGCATTGAAGGATGGAGTCATTGGCTGGCACCTTGATTCTGCAGACCCTTGGAGGAGCTGTTGGGGAAAGCAGATAAAGTGTGAGTGCTATGACCAGAGGAAAAGCAAATTCCTTGTGCTCTGATTTACTTTCCATGTGTGCAACAATAAAACATCAAGAACCCGGTGCATAGGTTTGGGCTGGGTCCCAGATGCAGTCTGGCTCTGTGTCCTGGGGTGTCGGGCTGGAAGTACCCTGGTACCCCACCCTACTTGCTGCCAGCTGGACAGCAGCCCCAGGGCAAGCAGGGTGAAAGAACAAGGCAATGCCAAACACTTACATTTCACAGAAATACTGAAGTTTACTGATGCATTGGTCTCATTGTTGTGGGCATAAAATGTATAGAGACCTCCCTCTCCTTCCTGCAGGCGGTTCAGGAAAAGCGTGTTGTTATACCTGCTCACACAGAGAGAGTAAACACCATGAAGAAAGCTGTGCTGAGGAAACTTAAGCACTCTCACAGCCTTTGCTCAGTGAGATCTAGCTGCTTCCTGTGCCCAGGAGTGGGTGAACACTTCCCAGCACTAATCCCAGCCCTCGAGGGGAGTCTGCTACTTGTTTCTTCAGGGGAAGCAGGGAGGTTCTGATCTTCCTTAGGGGAAAGGCCTTTTGCTGCCAAGTGCACAGCACTTCTGAAAGGCTACAGGTGGGTAAATGCTCAGAAAGCATAGTTTAACTTCTAAATCATTGCCTTCAAGGGGCTAGAGGATGCTGGTCCTCCTGCCTTTAACAGAATAAGTTATTCCTCCCATTTCTTAGCCCACCAAGTCACGGTCCCTAGTGCCCACTCTCCTGTGCCCCAGACCATTTTTCAGACCCAGGTGCAAGAAAGAGTTTGCCCTAAAACCATCATGCTTGCTGAGTGGCACAGTTCCTCCTGTGGATTACTTTGGGTTTCTAAGAAAATGAAAGGGGAATTGCCAAAACTCCCCAACAAATGGAATTATACTCTTTCTTTCAGTCTCCTTTTGGCCTCAGTTGGCTGTAGGCTTTGGAAGAGCAGACCACCTGTGCCCTCCATTATCTTATCCACATAGTGATGTTTCTGGCTTCTCTTGCTGTGGGACATACAGTGCCACTCAGTACAGACACTGTCCAGACCTCAGAGTATGGGGCAGGTCTGAACAGCAGTGAGGGAATTCAGTTTTTTGTACTGTTCATCCATGCCTATAATTTCTTTCTGCAAGGAGAGTGTGAACTTGAACCACCAGACCACAAACGGGATACTGACTTTCACAAGGTTTTACAAAATGAGGGCTGCCAAATCAGATGGAGGTTGTGTCCTCCTTGATCTGATCAGACCTGCTCACTGTGGTTTGCTAATAATATCGGAAAGTCAAGACAAATGCAGAACAGTTCCCCTCTAAAACCAGAGAGTTTTCTGTCAGCCAGCAGCATGGGGTCTGCCTGTATCACAAGGAAAGCATTGTTGAAATCACACCATGGCCAGTGTAGAAGAGAGACAGCACATACCAGTTGTTTCCAGAGATCATTTGGACCTGGAATGCACTGGCTCTAGAGCTCTTCAATGGGTTTGTGTGCTTCCAGTTCCAGTGGAGAAGTTTTGGGTAAGCCTCAATGTGGACCTGCAGCTGCAGACTCTCTCCCAAAGCAATCTCCTGGCTGGTGGCTTGCACTGGGGTCAGGAACACATAACCTCTCTCTGCAGGATGGAGGAGAGCATCACCATCAGCAAGCATGTCCAGAGACCTGAAACAAGCTTATACCAGCTTCATAAATGGACAATTATTGGAAAGGGCGGCCTTGGCTGAGAGACTGCAGGACGGAATGAGGCATTGCACAGATTATGTTGCCAAAGCAGTACTTTTTAATTGCTTCTTTGTCATGGAAGCTTGGATTACACTGCCTGAGGACAGTGAGAAAATCTTAGTGAAGTCTCATGGGGAAAGAGGTTTTATGTGCTGTATTCTAATAAGTAGTGAAGCTAAAACTGTATTTCCTGATTGTCCGTAGAAGACAGTCCCCTTAGCTAAACTCCTGGCTCCTCATTTGGCAACAACTCAGACCAAGCCCTCTTTGAGCCATGGCATTCAGTGGCTTTGGGTCATCAGCAAACCCTAGCCTATGAGCTGCAAGGTTGAATTTTCCATCTTGAGATACAAACAAGTTTATAATAGACCCGAATCCTCTTATGTGGATCTACTACTGGAAGAGACAAAGATCCATACTTTGCTCATGTGTCTTGCCCTTCCTTCCACCCAGTCTTTCCTTGTCTTCAGCATAATCTTGCCCCATTCTTTTTTAAAAGTTCTTTATAAACACACAGAAGCTGAGAAGATATTTGATTTTTTTCCATCCAGAATCCAAAAAACATCCTCCTGCCCCTCAAGATGTGAAGGGAACACCAGTTCCTTTCCTAGCAGCTCCACAGTTCTCATGTGAGCCTTCAGACACAAGCAAGAATGACCTTTCCAACAACAAAACTGGGAACAAGATTGAGGCAGAAGTGGCAAATACTCAAGGCTAGGTGTGATTCAGCCCAGACCTTCCTGTTTTTTTGGGGGAGCACTCACCTACTACCTGAAGCATTGTCGAGGCATTCCTAAACCCTGCTGAGTTGTTAGCTATACAGGTGTATTTCCCACTGTCTTCCATGGTCACTGCTGGAATGGACAGGATGTCACTGATGAAGTAGTTCTCATTTTCAAAGCTGGACTTTTTAGATCTCTTGACCTGTCAGGCAGAGAGGGAACATCAGACACTTTCTTGGAAGGACAGAGAATGGAACTGAATATTTACAAACATACCCACCCCTTCCTGTTCTGGGCTACCGTCCCTGTCACTGAAAGCCATCTGTGTGGATACCAAGAGACATATTAAATCTAGGTATTCAGGGCAGATATTCCACAGCAGTCAGGGTTATAGCTGTTGTCAGCCTTCTGACTGCAAGTTGGCCTTACACTGCGTGGTCCAAACATATCCTGTATGTTATTTCAACTCCTTAATAAAAGCAACCGGTATAATAGGGACTTCTAGCAAACCTTATCTAACCATCTAGCAGTTAAAAGTCAATCCAACAGGGATTTTGAAACGCATTCCCTTTCTTCACCCATATCTTTTCTCTGGGGAACTATGTGTTCTGAACATGTTTGCTGCTTTACAAGCCCTGGCAGGGCTGGGTGGAGAAATGTTGCATCAGTAGGTACTGTGACTCCTGCTCAATTAACTGAGCTGAAACAACCTACTTCCCTTCTCTCTTGCAGCAAGATCTTGACAGCAGGCAGGTGTTTTTCAACTCTGTCATCCCAAGGAAAAGATGGCCATATTCAGATTTCTACAGCTTGTTTGAATAGGTGCTTTAGTTAGACAGTTCAAGGCTTTGCTGCAGGTGACTTAGGGTGGTAAGAACTGCTCAGACCCATGTCTCCTGGTTTCCAGGAAAGCCCTATACGTCCTTGAAGCTGCACAACTTACATTCTTTGCTGCTGTCACCCATCTGATGTCATACTTGTGGGAAGGAGCAATTACTTTGCAAGTGACTTCGAAAGGTTCGCCCACAATTCGCACGTGATCTACAGGTTCCATTATCACTGATACAGGCTTCTCCAGTGCTACACAAAGGCAAGCAGGGAAAGATTCAACATCAGCTGATCCAGTGACCCCATGTGCTTTAGAGACTTCCCAGGGCCTGGCTACCTTCTCCTTTCCATCCTCTTCAGTTTCTTTACCCCTGGCCTTCTCCTTTCCTAGGGATCATCACTCCTTTCTGTGCATGTGTCTATGAGAAGCAGTACAGATGGGGGAGAGCACAGCAGTCAGCACTGTGGGTTGAAAGGGAAGGGGAACCTTCTACCATAATTATGTCCTGAGCATCAGGGCCTGAGGACTTGTAGAACATCAGGGAGATATGTGGACTTTTTTCCTCTCTGTTCTGTGATAGTGCCTGCAAAAATTTGACCACTGCTGAACCCATGGAGACCCACCTGAAGGAGCCAGTTTGCCAGAAGCAAATGAACTTTTGCCTCCATTAAATACCCTTCGAAGATTGAAGGTTCAGAAAATCTTTCCTACCACTGGCAAGGAGCTTTTCCTTAACTATCTACTGTGGACAGCTTAGCTATTGCTGTCTCCCTGAGGACAGAAGCAACCCCAATCCTTTACCTTCTTCCACAAACAGTCTTAATCTTGATGACTTCTCTATTTTTCCATTTATCACTGCTTGGCATCGGTAAGAGCCCTTCTGCTTGCTTTGCACATTGTATAGTGTTATTCCTTTCTCAGTACTGAAAGTATAGTTGGTCCCAGGTGGGAGAGGAGAACCATCTTCCATTATCAGAGTCACGCTGGATCCATACTCAGGGGCTGTGATGAGGCAGGGGAGCTCAACGTTACCACCTTTAGTCACAAAGATCCGGAAAGACGGGGTGTACCACACGTTATTCGGATCTGTGGAGGAGACAAGGTAAGCCAGAGAATGGGATCAGAAAACACACTGAAGCAGAAAAACACATTCCAGCAGAGGCAAGTCTCCAGCATTGCTGCCCAGTGGGAGTTCGATGCTGGGGCAGCCCTGCACAACGCCTGCTTGACTCAGCCTCCAAAAACTCACACGACAAGCCCAATTTCAGCTAAGACATTTGAGGACAGCACAGAAATCAACTTGCAAATGTATATAGGCAAGAGAGACTGAGAAATATGCTTATGTCTAATTAAACTTTTCACCATGGTGTTATTCTGATTTATCAGACCTCCAGCTTTCCTGTCTAGGACAGCATCTCCAGTACAAGGGAAGGGGTGAACTCAAGTGGTGGAGCTACGACAGCATAACTACTTCTGGAATAAAAGAATATTTGAGGTTCAAGTCATGTTGTGAGGACACAATTCATGTGATTCTCTCCCTTATATGGGGTACTAGCAATACAGGTCTCTGATTTCCAGATCTCACTGCTCATTACAACATCGAACAGACTTTCACCCCTGTTTTTTTCAGGAAGGGAAGCTAAGGTAGATGGAAGGAGAGATCCAGGCCATTCCCACATATGCATGAGGTGCAGCTCTGTACTCTACCCCAGTGCTTCAGCCACAGGCCCCATTTTATGTGGGTTTAAATGGGTGTGAGTGAGCCACTGCCTCACTAGGAGCCTGCACTGCTCCTCAAACACACCCACCACCACAGCTGTAGGAAGGACCTGTGTCATGGCCATGATCCCTGAAAGGAGGCCATTCTGCCAGCGTATGTGGGAAGAGGGAAGCGTAGTTACCTCGCACGAACAGATGCACACTGGCAATGCCCTTGTCACTGCTGTTGACATAAGCACACTTATAGGTGCCTGTATCCCTGTAAGTAGCCTTGGGAATATTGATCATGCTGCTGGTGTGGTTGCTGAATGTATCCTTTCGGCTTTTCCATTCAACTTCGGACTCTCCTGAGCAGTGCAAGATGACTGGATCACCCGTGTTGACAACCAGAACAGGGAGGTCAGGGCTGACCACTGGGGATGCTGAGCCTACAAAGGAAAGAGAAAGAGTGAAGATGCAAAAATGATCCTTAAAGATGTTCTGTTGGAGTTCACACTGCTGAGCATGGAGTAGCCCAGCATCAGGAAGAGGCTGAGTTTAGGATTCAGACTGGCTTTTTGGCTCATATCAGTCCAGACATTCTCCATCCCACCAGATGGATTTGGCCTGATGCTCCAAAGAATGAATTTCAGGGAAGAAACAAAACCCCACATGTGAACATTTAGAGCACTGGGACAGGAAAAACCATAATCTGGAGCTGATGCCAGTTTGGAGACTGTTTCTGTCAGGTTTTGCCTCTTCTTGCAACAGTTTCCTTTTGTGGCAGAGATTGAGCTACTATATGAACTCTGCTAGCCCATAACACCATTTGGTGAAGATTAAGTCTAGTGGACAGGGTTGTTTCTGTTGCATTGGTGCTGTGATGAGCTAGAACAGACCTGACCTGCTCTGCAGAAGCTTTCCAGTGCATGCCTTTTGGGAAGACTGCTTTTTGATTGCTGGACAGTAGATACTTATGCCTTAACATAGAGTCACACAGTGCATTCTCCTCACAGATACCATCAAAACATTATAAAGTGAGTCACCATTATTATTCATATTTGGGGTGGGAAACTGAGGCATAGAAAAGCTAAATGGCTTATGAAAGTCCACAGCTTTACTTGTACATACAGCACACCAGGACACGCTGACCCTGGCACTGCAATTTATCTGGATTTCTGATGCCATGTCTACTTTGAAGATAACTTCTCTGATGGCTGAATAAAGGGGAACCAGGGTCCCACTCCAGCCCTTAGTGTCAAAGGGAAATATTTTTTCCCTGTTTTGCCGTGTCAGCGAGTTCTTTGAGTCACTACCTATATTTAGGGTGGGGGGAAGTGAGAAATGAATCAGTGCTGCAGGGCTAGGGAAGAAGTGGTATCACCACCCCCACGCCAAGCCTTCAGAGAGGACAGGAAACACATTGCAAATGGCTATCTGTGCTTGGGGGGCTTTGCATCCCCCTCCAGCCCCCATCCAGGGCTATTCTCCCACTTCTGCTTTCCTTCCCAGTTTCTAACCAATCCTCACATCTTAAAGGGATAAACAGTCAGGTTCAAATAATACTAAGTAGAAAGGTAGCTGCCCAGTTTATCAATTCCATGCTCTTTGTAGAGGACGTCACTGCAGGCAGTGTTCCTCTGGGGTGGTGGCAGCAGAAACAAGGGTTGAGTTCGGTCTTGTGATGCCTCAAACTGAAGCAGACTGCTCTGGACTCACAGGAGCTCTTTTGTTGAAAGATTTGTCTTCCCAATGAAGATAAAAACCCTAACTCATCAGGAAGTGGGAGACGGCAAATTACCCTATAATGGCACCATTAGCCCAGCTGCACTTGCATATCCTTCAGGGGAAAGGAGACTAGTGGCCAGATCTTACAGTCCTTGTTGCAGGGAGGAGAGGAAGGCTGCTTATGGTCATGCAAAGACAGTTTAAAGCAAATCTGTTCCCAGGTGCTGCCCTGGACACTGTCCCTGTAACACAGCCAGCAGAAGCCACGTGCAGCCATCCTCATGCACCCCTGCTCACGGCTCATTTGGTGAGAAAGACTATGTCCAAGGTACAAATGTGTGTTGTGTTCTACCAGCTGTGCTCAGGACTGTAACTCCAGAGCCTGTCCATCAGAGCTCAAAGAGCATCATTTCAGTAGTCTTGGGTTGATGCTTCCCTCTGTGCAATGAAGGGTCAAGAATACGAGACTCAAGGCCCCAGGGAGTGTTACTGATGCATAACAACAATGCAGTTGCCCAGGGGAACCCAAACAAGGCCTGGATCAAACTTGCTGGCCCTGCAGGAAGGAGGAGAGGACAGGGAGCTTTGGAGCATGGAATATTTGACATTTTATCTCCCTGGGATTTTTTAGTGATGCCTTTATCTTTCTGTGGAAAGAGGAAAAGCCTCATTTATTCTCAGAGTGGAGAAAAACATATCCCAGAATCCCTTGCAAAGCCACATTTTCCACATATGAGGTACAACATTCCTCCCCTTTTTGCTAAGCTGCGTTTTCTAGTGGGGCTTGACGCGTTTCTGTTGCTTTTATTCTCTATCACCGGATGCTTTTCCCTCACCTGTTCTCTGCTGTAGCTATCCCTCTGCATCCAAGGCTTCAGCACCATTTAATGGGCGATCCAAGCTCTTTGACTTAAAGCTGCATTCTAACTAGCTCAGGGGACGACCACGCTGTAATTTGTCATTTGTTTGGCCACAGTAGGAGGACAAGAAAACCAAGAGTTGTGTCACTCTGTCCTTGTTGTTATCAACTTCCAGTTACTACTGAGATGCTATGGCCAGAAAAGGCTCAGGGTAGGTGATCTGTATAACAGTGCAGAAGCCACCAGCAACCTTCAGGCTATCACTGGAGACCCCTGTCAATATCACAGCCACCATCTAAGTGGGGTGAAGACACATGGGGCAGAGGCACTAAATGCAGGACAATGCCAGGTGAAGGCCAGCCAAGCATCCACTCCTCCTTGTGTGCTGGGGGATAAGTCAGACCAGCAGGTCCTTTTCCAGAATGGGGAAGCAGGGCTGCTGGGGGAGGCTTTCTCCCTGCTGACCAGTGTGCAATCTTGCACGAAGCCCAGGGATGTCTCTCTGCTGCTCTCCAGCAGCTTCCTCAGCATTGCCAGTAACTGCTGGCCAAAGGTTTTACCACATTTGGGTTGTGTAACCATGACCTCTAGTTACAGCTGCAGGCTCTGTCCCTGCCTCTTCCATGCCAGCCAAAACATTACTTTCCTCTGCTGAGTGTTTGGAAATGGTGAAGAAGGAGAAGTAAAGGCTGGTAAGACCGAGATACTGAAGAACCTTATCACAGAAGCCAGTCATCAGGACCTTGACTTGGTCCTGGGGGATAACTACGCTAAGGTCTGGCCCTGGGAGGGACCCATACCGGGCCTGAGCTCCCCATGCTCCCACTTCAATGATGGCAAGGAAAACTTGGTTTCTGAGGACACATTCCCTAGAGTGACCTACTGTATCTGTGGGCAGGGGGGTGGGAAAATTGTGTTTAACATATCCCCGCTTGGGGCTTCTACCTCAGAGGTTTAGATTCATCCACAAGAAGAAAACAAAAGAAACCCCAGGAAGACCTCTCAAGATGGCTAAGAACACAGATGTAAGCAGATCAGGTTTAAATCTTTGCTTGATCTGAATCTGGGATTTGAGCCCCTGATATTCCCCTGGAAAGATCCCTGATCACAGTGGTCATACCACATCAGCCCTGGATACTCTCAGAAGATGCACTTGCAATCCAAGAGGTAGGAGAATGAAGTCAGGCTCTGACTCCAGCTTGAGGCTGTTTTGGACAACCTTAGCATGCTGCAGCTTTGTGCTGACAGTGATGGTACTCAGACAAATGTGTCTAACACCATGTCATGGCTGACAGTGCCTGATAAGAATGTCACAGCTGGTGACCTGTATTGCCCAGTGCCTCAAGGAGCTTTCAGAGAGATCCTGACAGATATTATTATGATCTCTCACAAATCTCTATCAAACCTGCCTAGTCCCTATTATCTTAAAAACATAAGAAATTAAAAACCCTGCAGCTTTCACAATACAGTTCCCAGCATAGCAGATCTGGAAAAAGCCTGCTCAGCATGTCAAAAAAATGAATTGAAGTGAAACACCACGAAGTGCAACAGAGAGAGAGATGCAAATTTCCTGGGCTGAAAATATGAACACTGCAGTGGGTCAAGAGGGATGTGCTGCCTCCCCGTTACATGCTGAATGCTTCCCCCCAGATTGCCCCCATCCAGGGGGGACCTCACACCAGAGTTTCACTGTGTCCCAAAGCATGCTTAAGAGCAAAATGAAGTGCCCCACAAGATCTGAGAGGCTGCCAGAACTTAAAATTTAGGATTAGTAATACTGGTTTCTATCTGTTTGGTTGCAAACCTCAAAACAGGCTTAGTGACTCTTTCTTGAGGTTGATGGGTTGTCGCCTCTTGGCCATCTCCACAGCCTCAAAACCCAGACATATTCACCTTTCCCTTCTTGGCTGCCTGAGTTCTGTTTCCATTACACCCTGGCTCTACAGCCCTGTTGTGTATGCCAGCACCACCAGAGAACAGCACTCCTCAGACATCTCCAACCAGACACAAACCAGGCATTGGAAGGTGCCTATGCAGCTGACTTTCCCAAATCACCTGCAGGCCAAGCATCTCCAGCTCTCACCCCATTTGGACAAAGGGTTATTTCAGAGACAGCTTCTCTCAGGACATACTTTTTGCTGTACCTCTCCTTCCTCCTAACCTCTGTCCAGACCCAAACAGTGGGAAGTTTCCCTTTCCCATCTCCCCACTGCTGAGCCTCTTCCTGTGTTACATGCACAGCTGGACTCCAGAGTCACCACAAACTAGCAACACACTCTTTCCACCACTGGTCTCCAGCTATAGTGACAGCCAGCTCTGTATGGTCTTCAGAAATCTACTACATCCAAGTCTACACTGAGTGCCAAGCTGGTGACTCTTCCCTGATGTCCCAGGGAGCAGACATATTCTATTGTCCCCTCCCCACCTACAGCGAGGCTCCTTCAACCTGCCCACAGCAGCGGGGGCTGCAGCCTGAAGCAGGGGCCATCCCATCCTGCAGCAGACTTTTGGTAGACACGATTAGGAGCCCAGCTTTGCCCTCCACCACTGGGAGCCAAGTGCCCCATAGTCCAACTTCAGCCTTGCCCCATCCCTAGCAAGGCTGTTGCTCCTTCTCACCCGAGGAGGGATGAGGCATTCACACCAGACACCCAGGAAACCCTCGTCATATCCCAAAACTGCCCCAGAACGACACGGAGACACGGCAGAGCTTTAGGGGGGGCTGGTGGACTTACCGTGCCAGGCACCGGCTGCAGTGAGCAGCAGGAGGAGAGCAGGACCCATGTCCCCAGGGACCACGGTGCCCCCAGTGTGGAGCAAGGACACAGCTGGAGGATCCTCTCAAGCAGCGGATGCCTCTCCTCGTAGGCACTGTCCCCACCGCTCCCTCAGCAGGAGCTTCTCCTTTCTGACTCGACCACAAGTTAACAAATTCCCTTTTTTTTTTTTTTTTGTTTGTTTTTGAAACAGGAGAGGAAAAAAAAAAAAGAAAGCTATACTTTGAGACGTCACTGGTGACAAACCCCCTTGGCAGAGGTGGTGCCATGCACGCACCCCACTGCAGGGTCCCCCCCTTGCTGCTGGGGACACCCTCCTGCCATAAACCCTGCCCCAGAGAGGGGTTCAGCCCCAGACTGACAGGGGCCACCGTGCCATGCCAGGGCTCAGGACAATCCCCACCTGCCCTGGCTACTGCCACCCAGACCTCCAGGGTCTGCTGCACACTTGCTCAGGGACACAAAAATCCAGGCTGGGACCTGCTCTGATGACAGGGGACTCCACTTTACCTCAGGCCCAGTGGCTCTTGTTGACTTCAGGTCCCACACAGGAGCACAGCTGACTCCCCCACAACAGGCCCACAAAGGTGAATCAGCCTCAGGGCAGCTCCCAGGTGGGAAGAGGCCTGTGAAGATGACAAACAGTTTTGTTTTAACCAAGAAGGGTCCTGTGGCCACACAGGATCACCCTCAAGACCCACTCTAGTACTGCACAGAAGCGGGGCTGATGCCAGCCAGCCGCAGGCCAGCCTTCACCACCCTCCCCATCAGGGAAATGTCTAGGGGGCCAGCCTGCAGACCCTTCCCTGTCCCCGGCTCTCCTCCTCTTCCAGCACCTCCAAACCCAAGGCTTAGAGCAACCCTGTTGCCATCAAGCAGGCACAGAACTCAAACAAAGACACCATCCTCCCCAAAAGCCCAACCCCCCTCCCTAGTTGGTGGGGAGGTTTTTTGAAGCTGTTCTCTAATTGACAACCTGGCAGGCACCTGGGAGCAGTAATTAGGCACTTTGTTAACCCTCACCTGGACTGTGCCTCTTCCAAAACAGGGGGTGAGGGTAGGTTTGACGCAAAACAGCTCTCCCAGGGATGCTTATGTCAGACACAGGGTGCCCCTTGCTCTCTGCTCTATCTCTGGATAACCTCATGCTGCAGCAGAAGTTCGTGATAGTTCATGGCAGCTCTGGGGTGGGAAGTTATGGCCACCATCTGACAGCACTGGGAAGCACAGGGGAGGAAGAGCTCTGCCTTAGCTGCACCCAGCTGCAGCCCCATCAGTGGGGAGTTGACATGGACACTGGCTGTGAAATGTGGGCAGAAAGAGATGGGCTTTTCCAAAACATCTGCACAGAGGTGGTTGATGAATCTGCTCTTGCAATGCAAAGGTGCCAGGCAGAGGAGTGCTCTTCATGGCTCCACAGACTGAAGGTGAATGGGCTTCTCCAAAGGGGACAATTAGCAAGGTACCAGCAAGACAAAGTCTTGGGGCCAAGAGATGAGAGCATGGCTGATTGTGCTGGAGATGACTAAGAGTCATGGGAACATTGAGAGAGCTCTTGGTTTTGGCCAGAAGGATGGCTGGAGAGCATGAGGGAGTCCAGAGAGAAGGAAAGGCAGCTTTTGGCTGGAGAAGATTTCCTCTCAGCAGTTTTTCCTGGCAGGATGTGAGGAAGAAGAACACAAAGTATAGGCAGTGTGGTGCACTGGGGGGCTCCTGCCCAGAGCTGGGGAGTTGTTGAGTGACTGGGCCGCAGGAGACGTCTGCCTGATTATTCTTTCCTCCTTTTGAGCCAAAGGGGCTTTTTAAAGGATGTTTGTTTCCCTCCTTCTTCTTTTTAAGTTTGGGTTTTTTTGTTTTTTGATTTTTTTTTTCCAGGAACAAATGCCAGCTCATAGAGAACTGACTCACCAGTGTGAACAAGTATTAAACCAGACAGGTTTAATACAGAGAAAGGAAACAATCTCTCAACCTCCCTTCTCTTTTAAGAGGTCCCTCACGGAGTATCTGTGATGACAGTGGTCCACAGGTGACAAATCACACCCTGTACACATGGGTCCCCAAGCTGGGCTGGAAGCACATTGGGATGCTCAGTGGGACAAAGTGTTTGCTGGGGTTCTTCCCTCATTGGTGGCTATCTCTTCCTGCCTGCAGGCTGCACCCCAAATCCTGTCTTTGCAAACAGCCGCTCAGCCACAGGAGCGAGGGCCAGGGATGCTCTCAGAGCAGCTGCAGCCTTACTTTGAATCACTTGAAGCCCAAGGATGTTTGTGGAGGCCCTGGTAGCCAGGAAGTCATGCTGGGAGATGGCATGAGACTTACTCAGTGCCTGGATGGATGCAGGCTGGCTGTGGAGGGAACAGTGGAGGCTGCTATGAGCCCTGGTTGGGAGCACTGGGAGCTCAGGCTTATTTCCCAGGCTGGGAGCAGGGCTGGGCCATTCCAGCCCTACAGGACCCCTGCACTGAGTACAGCTGGCCATGGTGTCGTGCCTGCCTGAACTGCCCTGCCCTGGGGACACATGTGAAACCCTCGTGTCCTGAGTGAGCTGTTGGTACCCAAACAGCTAAAAGTCCTGGTTACAGCAGGCCAGGGTTTGTCTCTGCAGTCTGAGTTTCTCTTTTTCTCTGAGCTCTTCCATGAGGTGCCTGTCTCATCACTGGAGAGGAGATTTGTTTCAGGATGCAGAAAATGCCCTGCTGGGTGTCCCCACGTCTGCCTGCTCACTTCCAGCCCTCAATGCATCCCGACATGCAAAAGTCCTGCCAGGCAGGGATCAGGCAGTGGAATCTAGCTGGGATCAGGGCTGAGGTTTACCAATTCCCCTTCTTTGCTTCCCTCCATGCCTTTGCTGCAGCCTCTGGAGACGAGGTGAATTTTTTTCCCTGCTGATTCAGCTCCTGGAGAAAAATGCCCTGTCTGCCTGTGTGGCTGAGACATGCCAGGTGACTCAGAGCACATCTAGGGAGAATCAGACTGAGCTGGTCAGGGAGCCTGCAAATGTCCTCCTCTCTGGCACTGAGCAAAGACAGAAGTCCAGGTCTGTGCTTTTTTTTTTTTTCCTGTGCTGGAAAGGGGAGCCTTGCTGGGACTTGGACATGTCTCCTGCTGCAGCCAGTGCCTTGGGCCTTTGGATACACAAGAGATTTCCAGGAGCTGAGGGAGGCATGACGGCTGCCAGTGGGGATTTGCACCGGGGCTGCATCATGCAGACTGAAAACATTGATATATTTGAACCTCAGATCAAAACTTCCTCTTCACAGCAACCCCAGGCTTTCCAAGCATGTGGCTCAGAGCTGGCTGCTAACAGCTCTGCCCAGCAGCCTAGGGTCATTTTCAGGAGGAGTGTTCTCATAGGAGCCAGAGAGAGGAGAAAACTTTGGGCTGGACTCAGGAGGTGCCTGTCTCTCATGGGGCTGAGGGACCCCAGCACTTCTGGAGAGGTGACTGGGGAAATGTGAGGGGAGTAGGAGGAAAGCAGAAGGACATGTGGACATGAGGGAGTGGCAGTGTGGGGAGCCAGTATTTTGGGGTTGCAACTTTAAAGGGTATCAGTGAATTCCTCATCGCAGAGGGAGGGGGAGGAAAACTCAGTATAGAGGAGAGCCAGACATAGGGAGCGCTGTTCACTGCAACATGTCTCCAGCTGCTGCCCTGAACCATTGCTACCCCCAGTCTCTCCCACTGCCCTGAGCTATTAAACTATGTGGAAAAAACAACAGCACTGAGGTGTCTCCCAACTCCTTCAGCCCAGCACTGTTCAGTCTGGCATCTCCCACAACCCTACCCTGATCCGAGCACAGACACAGTAATGCTCCCAAGGAGCACATCAAGGCCTTGTTTGGGGCTGCTGGCCCAAACCTCAGGCACTGGGGGTACACATGGGAACTGTTCTTGATGTCCTTCCCTCTACCCACCCCCTCCCAGTGCAACATGACCCACAAGCTGGCCAGTTACCAGAGAGATGGGGCAGATCCTGCCCTGTTCGCAGCCCCTTTTCCTTACCACATCTTTGGGCTCAGCTGCTGCCTTGCTGTGCTTCTCTCTGCCTGGCTCCCAGCTTGGATCTTGCTAAGCGTTGGGGTCATGCACAGCGTATTAACATGCTTAGCCTTCACACACGACATGCTTAAGCTGTGTTTCCAGCCCCATCTGAGTGGGAGCAACTAAAACCAGGCAAACAAAGGAAGAGATGGAACTTTGCAAAAAGAAAAACACCTTTATTTTTAAACTCTTTCTTTAAAAACATGTTTGTAAAAGTTTACAGCATAAAAATAGTATCTCATGGCTATAGATGTGACATAGTACAAATCCTACAAATACATCTGTAAACCTAGGAAAATGTTAACTCTTTGGTACCTTAGTCTGATCTCTGTGTTTCCCTTTGCCCTCAGGATGGTTTTGGACAGACAGCATGAAGGCAGGTGCTGCTTCTGTTCAGAGATGCTGCAGAGTGACAGCATGATGCCAGCAAGGCAGCACAGCAGGAGGGGGAGAGGGCAGAGGGCACGCTTTGGGCAAGCTTTGCAGTTCTGGTGCAATCCATGGAGGAGGAAAGGACAGGAAAGATGGGATGCTGCAGGCCTCCCAGCATGAGTTGGCTTCCCTGACTCCTCCCACCCCTGCAAGAGCCATCTCTCCGAAGTACTGCTGGAGATACACTGCAGCAGTTCCCCTGCCTTTGCCAAAGCCAACTGGATCCATCTTGGCATGTCCCAGAGACTTCAGTCCTCCAGGTGAAACATGGGAGTTAGGCTGGGAGCCCAGCAACCCATGTGCTGGCCCATGAAATCTGATTTTTTGACAATACCTGCCTTGCCTTTGGCAAGTTCTGCAGACAATGTGGTGCCTCCACTGTTACAGTCAGCGCTGGACGATCAGCACCCAGGCAGGGCTGGGATCTGCTGCAGGAAGGACCTGTGCACAGCCCAGGAGCTGCCCAGTGAGGACCTGCAACTGCCCTGGCTGCTCTCTGCCTGTGCAACCACCCAGGGCAAAGGCTGCCAAAAGGCTGCCGAGGGCTGCCAAGGGGCAACCTTCATGTTCTCCAAGTAGGAGTGCAGCCAGGCTGTGTCCCCGCTCCCCGGGACTGGCTTGCCAGCCCACAGCTCTCCTGTCTGCAGAGGAGATC